ATTCCAATATTCTGTAGGATTTTTATCATGACTGTGTACTGGACTTTGTCAAATGCTTTTTCTGCATGTATTGAGATGATCATTTTTTTGTCCTTGGGTCTTTGAATTGCTGTTTTACATTTATTGATTTGTATGTGTTGAACCATCCCTGCATCTCGAGCATGAATCCTACTTGATCATGGTGTATGATTTTTTTTTTTATGATTTGCTGCGTTCTGTTTGCCAGTATCTCATGGAGGAATTTTCTAGCTATGTTTGCTAAGGAGATTGGCCCATAGTTGTCTTTTTTGGTTGGCTCCTTCTTTGGTTTTGGTATCAGGGTTGCTTGCTTCCATGAATGACTTTGGAATTATTGCTTCTTTTTCAGTTTCTTCAAAGAGTTTGAGTAGTAGTGGCATTAGATCTGTAAAGTTCTTATGGAATTCAGCAGTGAACCCTTCAGAACGTGGGTGACCATAATTCATCCAGATGGCTGACCACTGATAACTGACCACTGTTATAGACTTTGGATTATATTCTTATTTTTCCAAACATCTATTGTCATTTTACTTGGTATTATAATTGTACTTTGCCTGATCCTCTTAGTCTGGCAAAGTTCATCCAGAAAATGCTGAGAAACAGGAAGATAATTGGTGACCTTCTTGCTGATGCTACAAAGAATTGCAGCAAAATAAAAAGGAGGAAATGTGGAGAAGGACATTCTATGATTAGAAAGCACTGAGAACACACAATGATTTGTTTATTGTTGCAAAAATGAACTGAAACCTTTCACCTGAAGATAAGAGTGTATTTGAATTGCAGGAGATCCCTAATTTTTAGTCTTGCCATGCATTGTAAAAATTAATGGGAAGTAAGTGATACAGGAAAATAAAAACTCCCAACCTGAATGATATCTGGGATGAGTTTGTATTCTCTAAAATCAAAGAAGAAATTTTAGGGAACAATGGAGGTTGAGAGCAGAATATATTTATTGAGGGAAAGAAAGCTTCTGTCGAAGAGAGGGACAGAAGGGTGGCCAGAATGGGTTACCCCAAGACTCTGTCTTTTCTGGGGACTTTTATAGAGCAAAAGCACAAGGTGAGGTGGATCCAAGGTAGGGGAAAATGGACAAAACTGTGGTCAGCCAATAAGAATTGTTCAGGTAAAATTGATTAAATTGGCATCAAATGGAAAAGCGAGTCATGTAGCAAGAAGGCAGGAATACAGAACAGGGGCTCTTCCTGTAAGGGGTTGGGTTAGGGACTCTTCAAGCTGATCGCTACCTATTAGAATATCAATCCCTGATGCTGATCCCTAGGGAGGTATGTGGGTGCATTTGTTTACTCCTTTGTCTTGATGTTTGGCCCATAGCAAATACGTATCTTTCATGTTGGCTACTTGGCGGGCCTGGCCCTGTCTGACTGCCTATAATATTTCTTTCTAACTCAGCTGCCTATAACATAAAGACTGTGATTGTAGTGGATTGCTAACTAGTGGTCAACTTATAACCCCCAGCATTGTGCTGGGTGTAGGAGGCCCACCTGGGGATTGTTGCCAGCAGCATAAGAGGCAGAATTGGAGAAGGATAATGCTTTAATTACTAAAATGTTCGGTATCCATCCATTTGTACTAGCTAAGCACTTGGTTCTTGCTGAAGAAAAGGTGACTGAGATTGGTAATCATGGCTGCAGTCAGAGAGGCTGTAAGCCTCCTGATTGCAGACTTTTCTATCTATTGTTTTTTCTTGTCTCTCTTACTTTTTCTTATTATCCATGGCACCTTGTTCTTGGGACCTGTCACTATAGATAGAACCACACCTGCGATTTTCTTTTTTGGTCGGTTTTTTTATAATTACTCCTTCAATTTTTTTTTTAACTGATATTGGATTATTTAGAATTTTTATAACTTCTTGATTCAGCTTTGGTAATTCATATATGCCTAGGAATCTGTCCATTTCTTCTGAATTTTCTATCTTACTAGAGTACAGGTTCTCAGAGTAGGCACTAATGATCTTTTCAATTTCTGCAGGACCCGTTGTGATTTCACCCTTTTCATGCCTACTTATATGGATTTGAGTCTTTCCGTCTTTTGATAAGATTGGCTATGGGTCTATCTATTTTACTCTTCAATTAATTGATTCTTTGTATTGTTTTCTTAGTCTCAACTGCATTAATTTCTGCTCTGATCTTTATAATTTCCTTCCAAGATTTGGGCCGAACTTTTTTGAGAAATGCAAATTAAAACAACACTGATATTTCATCTCATTCTAGAAAGAATGGGTATCATTAAAAAAAATTAGTGAATAATTAACATTGGCTAGGTTGTAGGGGAAAAGGGAACCTTCAGTACTGGTGGGAGTGTAAACTGATACAACTACTATGAATGTCAGTATGGAGGCTCTTCAAAAAACTAAAACTATAGGTTCCGTTTGATCCAGCTATTCCCCTACTAAGCATCTTCCCAAAAGAGTTAAAGGCATCATACTGACACTTCCCAATACCCCTCATACTGACACTTCCCAATATCCAATATCATTGATACTTCCCAATATCACTGTATATGTGCATACAATGTTTATAGCAGCACAATTTACAATAGGAAAATCTTGAAAGCAGCCCATATGCTCATCAATAGATGAGTGGTAAAGAAAATGTGTTATTTATATACAACAAAGTACTACTCTACCATAAAGAAATATGAATTGGAGTCATTTATAGGTAAATGGGTATACCTTGAGACCATAATTTTAAGTGAAATAAATAATACACACAGGTTTAAATATGCATTGTCTCTCTTGTCTGAGAAAACCTAAGGGTAAACAAGGAACAAAATAAATGATGGATATTGGGACGTAGGAGGAACTTGTTCAAATGAGATAGGGAACAAGGGAGGAGGAAGGAAAAAGGAGGGAAGGGCAAAGGAAAAAAAAGCAAAGATGAAAGGAAAAAAATGGAAACAAAGTTTCTGTAAATGGGCAGGGGAGGGAGCGGAGGTAAATGAGAAAAATATAAAGAATTAAGATATATTATGTACCTATACAAACTCCCTATGATGAATGTGAGCATTATGTGTGGAAATATGTACTAATGAAAAATTTAAAAAGTAAAATAAAACCAAGTAATTACAGTAAGCCTGCACTAAAGATCATTTATATATGGCTTCAGTGCCTACAAAGTCCTCTCCAGAGCCCTGATTTGGACTTGGCTTGCAGAGACTGGCCTCATAGATGTTAAGGTCTTTTACTGGGTCAGAGGCCTTAGACACTTTGAGGGCTGTAAGAAAAGAAGAATTCACCTAAATTTATACACTGAAGATGAAATTGCTGCACAGATGTCGTGGACTTGGTTTTTTAATTGAGGATTTAAAAAAATTTAGTATGAGATCTCTAAAGAGAAATACACGTAGAAATTAACTTTTAGTCTCATAATTGCTCAATTGTTTGAGAATAGATTTACAGAGCATCCTCAAGGCTTGCATGTTGAATTAGGACTCTTGTTGCATTGCATCTACATGGATAAGCAGACCAAATCTAATAAAGTGAACATTTTTATTTAAAGAGTAACCTTTGGGAATTGTGCATAATCACAAGAGATAAGGACATCAGAAGCATATCCTGAAGCAGAGAATGCTGAGTGTTACTCCATTAGCATAGGACTTTTGATTTGTTATTTATTGGACCGTGCTACAACTTTGTAGGGGAAGAGGATAACTTATAGATTTTTGCCTAGCAGAGATGCATATAATTTCTGCCTGGCAGGAAAAATGATGAAAAAAATTATGACTTATTGTCCTTTTAGATGTTATCTCACTTTATATCTACCCCAGCAATCATCATAAAATTACTTCCTAAAATTACTTTCAAACACCTACCTTTTCAAATTACAATTTCAGTTGGTTAAACAACTCACTGTTTTCCTCGTTAATTATTGAGTATGTAAAAATCTTTGATATGTGCTCATTTTATATTTACATGTCATGATTTTACCTTTTTGAAAATTATACCAGAACAGGCTTGAGCAACTTGGAGAACAATGGTACCACTTACTAAGTTGGAGAATCCTAAGGAATCCTAAGGAATACTAAGAAATAAAACTTACTGGGGACAAGCATGAAGCGAAGAAGAAAATCAGATACTTCGTTTCAGAAGTGTTTAATTCAGAACAGAACTCTTTCTACTTTAAGAACATGTATAGCAGTGCTAAACTCCAAGGCATATAGGACAGTTAGCAAATGAGCCAGAATAATGGGCAAAGTCAGAAGTATAGATTGTTTTTGTGAGAAGAAAAGTTGCATGAGGGATTGGTAGTAGCTGTAAAAGATTCTAGAATAGTACTCAAAAGTACTTTTGTTCTGCAGTTTTCGACAGAGTAAAACTTTTTTTTAATCAAAGAATGCCGGGTTTGAGGTTTCCGAAAAATTAATCTGATATCAGCACATCAGAGACTTTGCAAAGGAAAGCTAAAGAGAAAAAATTAGAATGAAGACCATTGCTCCAGATCCGGGAAAAATAAGAGGATGGGAGGAAGTTGAGAATAAAATGTAAGAGTATTACAGTGTATACAGTTTGGCAAATTATTTTTGTCTCATAATTGTAGGTTTCGGTCAGCAAGGAGGCAAAGTTAGAAAATCACAGAATGAATGATAATGAGCTTCCAAATCAGGTCCTTTATTACAGAATAAGTATATATAAGAAAGGAAAATACTCTCTTAGATTTTTGAGGCATATTGTCTATATTAGGAAAACGTATCCTTTATATTTGAGGCATTTAGTGCCTCAAAGAGTTGGAAAGCCATAACAACATTTTAGGATAATATTGGCATCTTACTGGTTGGCACAAAGGACAGGAAATAATGTGCGAAGCCTTGCAGAAGGGGAACTCAGTGTCCATAAGAACAAGTGGTAATTAAAAAAAAAAAAAAAAAAACAAGTGGTAAGTTCAGGTGGAACTTTATGTTCAACATTTCTTTAATTCTTTTAAGGAACAAAAACTATGAAAGGAATTATAAAATTGCAAAGGTAATTTTTTTTTGCAAAGGTAATTATGATTGTATTCTAAAGTACTTCACAGGGACACCACCTTCCTTTTCCATGGTGTGGGGGCCCCAGCTGAGGGTTGGTAGAGAAGCTTACGTCTGGGTGTCCGTTTCATTTCATCCCTTCAGGGCTGTAGTAGTATATTAAAAATTTTCTTGTTTTCATTCAGTTATTGAACCCTAATTGGAAAAAACACATGAAAATAAATAATAATGAGGTAAATTTAACAAGTGATTTAAATTTTGGCTTTTAAATAAATTTTGAAATCAAATGGTGAAAAGTAAGTTTATTGTTAATGTAACAAATTATCCCAATCTAGAAGGGTTTGCTAAATGTTTTTTTATTTCAATTAAGTAACCCTTTCATTCTTTAATTCATTGACCATACACAGTTACTAGGGAGAAAAAAAAAAGTCAAATACTAAGTCAAGGTTAAAACTTCTGTGCAGATTGAATGAATTACCATGGGGCTCAAAGTCAGGGCCAAGGTCAAGCACTGATCCTGAGCTTGTTGAAGGCTCTCACTCCTGTCAGCTATACTCAGGGCTTTTTCACAAGAGGCTTTAATTTCTTCCTACTGCTGACAATTTTAGAACTGTAGGGAATGTTTGCCATTTCTTGGAAAAGTTAGTTGCTGTAACAGAACTAATAAAGGCAGTAGGTTTTCTATCTGTGATTATTGACAGTTACAATTTAATTTTGGCATTTCATTTATGGGCCACTTAATATATCTGACAGCTTTATATTGACTGTGAAGAAACAGTCCTTTTTCAGGTGGCCTGATGTTACCCTAAGTCCTAAAGCAGAAGACAGTGCCTGAAAGCTTTTATTTTTCTCTTGAAATATACACACCAGACTATCATGTCTTTCATGAACCATAACCATTCATTAGTATTTAGAAACCTGTTGTGTTTTAGTGAAGCTTTAAAAAGATGATAATTCTACTAGAAGGGGTTATGGACTAATAACTAATTTCCTAAGTTAATCATTTTGAGCAAATTTCTTTTAAATTATGGCCAAATAATTCTATAAAATATTTACATGTTTTGGACTACTTTTAATTCCTATTAAATTTTTCCTTTACAAGCTAGCAACTCTTTTTGGAAAGTGTATTATTCTGGATGCTAATCATCAATTTGTTGACCTACTTCCAGATATATATGTAAGACAGTATCCTAAGTGCAATAATATATCAGTATCCTATTACATATTTTGGTGATAGTGAGGGAATGGACAAAGTGACCTTTTAAATGGGTGCCATGATTCATAAGGCATTTGCTATGAAAGTGTCCAGAAATTTTACAAGTTTTAATCTTTGTTTCCAAATACGAATGCTTTGTATAAGACTCAGTATAGAATCAGTTACTGACATAAAATATCTTAAATTCCCATTGTATATTCATCCCCAGATTTCATATTTTAGAAACAAGATTTTAGATAGTGATCACCTCTGCCACATCTATTGTCTATTACATTGTGAACAGTTGAGGTTAATGTTGATGGCTGCTTGTAATCAGGCTGAATGAGGAGATGTTCAGATTAAGGACTGTTTTAAAAGAACTTTAATTATTAAGTTTCATTAGCAGTTTGGACAGCCTGAGAAATTAAAGTAATTGATATTAGCATTCCTGAAGATCTGTGCAACATTAATACAAAGAAGATTTGTTACCTTAGCAGGACAGTACAAAATTTAAGGAAGAATTTATCGTTGGCAAATAAAAAGAGCATTTCACCTACCAATTACTTTTATACTCAGTGGAGTATTTTGCTTTTTATACACTGTTACTATAAGATGAAAATGATCAATGTGTGCATTATAAGAACAAGACACTTATTTGACATTAACTATGTGACTCTTTTATTCAGCAAATACTTTTAGCAACTGTTTGTGCAAACCAATGTATGTGGTTGACACGTCATGAATCAGGTGTAATACTGACCTGGTTAGCATTCATACTGGGGTATGTAATTTTCCCAATTGTATGGAGAATAGTATACAACAAAAATTCCCTAGGAAGGATAGAGGTGAGTGTTTTATTAGGATTTATACATTTTACTTTTAGTTTCACATTATTTTCTTTGACATGCTATTCAGCTACTAGTACCTTAAAAGAGTGATATTGTAGATTTTTTTATATGAGAAAATTCAGATGCAATTTGAACATTAAGATAGAGGTGAAAAAAATAAAGCACAAGTCTCAAATAAGATATGGCTTGTATGAAATAGATAATTTTTAAAAAGGGATAATTGCTTTCTGTATCAGAAACTTATGTCATTTTTATTCCTGCCTACTACATTGCATGCTTCAGGCTACTAGACTTTAATGAACACATTTAAAATGTTGACTAAAATGAAACTATTGCAATATTTGGGTCTGCTGAAACTTTTATTAAGTAATTAACATTAATTTAATGCAAAGCATCATTCCTTTAAATATATGTGTTGTGTAATCACACTTTTGCCATAGATTCTATTAAGAATGTGAATACTCTTTGTTAGTAGTTAAAACAAAAATTTATAGTAAGAGGGACAGAATCTCTGGGGAAAGCATGCTACAGTTAATAGTAAGCAGCAGCTGTAAAACCTGTGTAGTGATTTGCAGGTAATTAGGAAAAGGACTAACAGACCATATGGTCAAGTATTATGTATTATTTATTTCTACACACACATAAAAATGTTATAAAATTGGACCTTTCTTAATTAACTCAGTGCTTATTCAGTATATTCTATACTCAAATAAAATCTAATTTGTAAATATGCCAAAATTTGGAGTTTATTTTAAATAATGTTCTAATTTTTAAGTGAAAGACACAGCAGAAGCATTTTCTTGTATCTGAATTGGGCAGTAGGAAAGCTCTGAAATTTTAGATTATTCTTTTTCTATTTATTATCTAAAATTATTCAGATTTAATGAAAATTATTAGTGTTGTTAGTCATTTGATAGTTTCAACATAGAGTTTTCATGTAGTAAAATATTGTAAGAGAGTACAAGCCATTATGTTACTACAATGGCCTTTTAGAAATGCTTACACTGAGTTAAAATTAAACATTAGAGAAGACTGAAGGAACATCATTTTAAACCATATTCTTGCCTCTTTTGAAAATTTAAAAGCCATTGTTTATTAACGCATTGTTATGGTTTGTGTCTAGATGTCCCTGCAAAACCTTATGCTGTCATGGAGTGGGCTTCTAGAGTTTTTGATTGATCCATAGTCTAATGCTTGGATTATGGGTATGAGTGCTACACCTGCCCTGGGGTGGGGAGCCTGCATACAATGTAAAGGAGGGAAACAGGCTCTTTGCTACTCCTCCCTTTTGCTCTTGTTGCTTTTGTTTTGTTCCACTGCCATGAACTGTTGCCCTCTGCCATGTGCCACTCTGCCTTGGAGCCAGCCCAGTATGGACTGAAACCTTCACAAACTGTGAGCTACATAAACCTTTCCTTCCTTAATTTTGGGTGGCAGGTATTTTGTCTTGGCAATGAGACAAAAGTAACTAAGATAAGCATCTATTAGACATTATATATAAGCTAGTTGAGGTAGAGCTTAAAATATTGAGTCAGTCAGTGCTTTAAAAATGTAGTAATTCCAGGTTAACTTTTATTATTATAAAACAGTTGTTATACACATTGACTATTTATTCCTTATCTTATCAGGAATCTCTTTCTCATTCACTGAAGGAGTTAAGCAATTTCCCAAACCTGATTGTTAGTGCTGCTGGAACAGATGACCTTGCCTACTTTTTCACAGAGTGGTCATCACTTCTGAGGTACTCAAACTGTAATAAATGTTTGTGCTCTATCATTTACCTAACCCTGGCTTGGGAACAACAATACTTGATGTATAAATAATATTTTGACTAAGGAAATTCATGTCAAATGGTTGGGAACAACAATACTTAATGTATAAATGATATTTGACTAAGGAAATTCATGTCAAATGGTTGGGAACAACAATACTTAATGTATAAGTAATATTTTGACTAAAGAAATTCATGTCAAATGGTATACCAAAACGTCTGACAGATTAAATGCTCAAAAAGGATAGTCACTTTCTTTATCTTCAAAGTTATTTCTAATTTTGTCTCACAATTATAGCCCACCTCTCTCTCTCCTCCTTTCTCTCTGTCTCTCTGATTTATTGTGTCCATCCTCACTATTTAGTTATATTAAAAATCCCTTTAAATTTTCATGTCTACCTTGTCCAGCAGTGATTTTCCTTATTTCCTTTATGTACCCATCATCAACATTTTCAGATAGAATGAACTTTGTTCTCTGCTTTAACTTCTATTCATGATTTTATGAAAGTCTGGATATCCCATGAAGCTCTGAACTTTTCCTGTAATGATTTCCTTAGTGCTATTTCTAAAAATTTTTGTAGTCCTCATGTATTTGGTTCTGTTGACCTGATGACACTGTCATATTCCCTGAAACGTATAACTCATGGTTTTATACTCTTATTTCCTTGTTTTCATTTATACTTTAAAAAATTGGGATGTCCTATAGTGTGGTATCTTAGACTCTTGTGCTCTTCTCAGTGCTGCATTCCTCTGATGAGGACTTTTCTGTTATTGAAATTTGCCTACTGGTTGTCAGCACTAGCCTTTTAATTATTTAAAAATTAACGTGTCAAAAGGGCATTTAAATTTTTTGGGTTGTTGCAGATACTTTTTTTTTTGTCTTTTTGAGACAGGGTCTTGCTATGCAGTTCAGGCTGGCCTTCAGCTCATTTTGTAGCCCAGGGTGGTCTTGAACTCACAACGATCCTCCTGCCTCAGCTTCCCCCTGGTAGGATTACAGGGGTGTGCCACCATGCCTGGCATTGTTGTAGATACTTTTGTCTTCTGCCTACTTATTTTATCATGCCATTTTGGCCAGAGATAATTCTCATTGAACAGTGTATTTATCTCAATTTATTCAGCCTAACTGCCCCCCCTTCATCATCTATCACCATATTCATTAACATTGCTTGTTAACTAATCATTTTTTCACCTGTTTATTGTATCTCCGACTCCATTTACCTTATTTAAGTAAAGAGAGATAAATGAACTTTATCACACTCCTATATGAGAGCCACCGAGTCCTTGTTATTCATAAAATAAATTCCAAAATGTTTGTAGGTAGTATAAAACTTAATCTGAGAGCATCATTTCTATCCAAAATCATTTTCCATGACACAATTAGTTGGTAGTACATATTTGTTGAATAAATACTTTTGAAACACATTCCACCTTATTGAGAATCCTGTACTGTGGACATAGCATTCACAGTCTTTTGTTCAATATTCTTTTCTTTCATCTCTGTGCTACAGTATGTACTTGACTCTGTATAGAAGATCCTTTATCTGGTGTCCATGCATCCTTTAACTCAGAATTCAAATATCAGCTTTTCCTAAGAACCATCTTTAGAACATGATTACTCTCTTCTTGAAGTTTGCTTTGAGATGACATAAATATATGTTTTTGTCTCAGCTTCCTCCCCTGTAATGTGAGTCCTAGAGAGCAGAGACTTTGCTTTATATATGTCTGTCTTAAATACTCTAGGACACAACACTTTTAAATATTGGTGATTATCAGATATTTGAAGCTTTTTGCATTGTCATGATTTGAATAGTCAGTTACTTTTGATTTTTCACTTTAAAATGAATATTTTATAAAATGTAGTGAAAAATGTGGAGCTATATTTTATCATCCTTCTCTTAGATACTTTTTTGAACATCTGTAAAGTGTTCTATTTCTTTCACCTGTGAAATAATGAATAGTAATTCATAAATATTCTTTATGATTAGTTTGAAAATTATTCTCAAAGGTATCGTAGTAACTTCTTTTGAGGAGAAAAGCATTTGGAAGTAAAAATATCATGCTGTCTCTGAGTGGTCTTGTATTTTGCAAATATGGCATGATCTATCTCCCTGTCTCAAATGTAGCATTGCAAAAGTACATTAAAAATTTTATTTAGAGCGAACTGAGGTATTGCTCATCTTTAAACCCCAACCTCATACTGGAGGCTGAGGTAGGAGGATTACAAGTTTGAGTGCAGTATGAGCCATTTAAAATAAAACTAGAAGGGCTATGAATGTTGTTCAGTGGTAGGACTTGTTCCTAGCACATGCTACACCACTCGTGGCAAACTTATGGCACACATGCTGCAGAGTGCTGTTTGTTTCATTGACAACTCTAAAAGATGTCAAGGTGGTATGCACTGAGCTTGATCCCTAGCACCACCACATACACTCACAGAGAAAGTTTTGTTTAAAAATGTTACTTTTTTGTTTTGACATTAAAAAACAAACAAAAAATAAATACATTTCCTAGCATATAGAGGTTAGTTTAACCCATAATGTCCTAGAAATATTGGAATCATCAGTGATTACACTAAACATGTTTAGAATTTTGTGGGAATAAAAAGGTTCTACTTTCTAACTTCCTTTGCACTTAGTGAAAAATAAGTAATATTTATTTTCTTTGGCAGCTTGACGGGATTTTCTTCGCCCTTATTCAGTTGTAAATAAGTCATTTACTAGTCAAGATATGTCAAGCCAGTGTAAGTCAAGGTCTGCCTAAACTATGAGATGTTTTATATGCTAGAGAAGACAGCTGATGTCTTTTTACAAGTTGATATTAATGAAGTAACTGTTGTAAGTTTCCTAGTGCTTTGTCCTTTCTTCCTATTCCATCTGTAAAAGACAGCATTGTCACTTACCTTATTGATGGTGACATAGAAATTATAATTTTTCTGGAAGTTACCATAATTATTTAGTAATTTTCATGTGTTGGCAACTGGATACATTTTAGTTACGTTTTTGGAAACAGATAAGATCTATATGGACAGACACACATGCAAATTGTGATGAAGAAGTAAGGAGAAAAAGACAAAGGAAGGAGAGACAGTGAAGAAGTAAGGAGAAAAAGACAAAGGAAGGAGAGAGAAAGGTGAGGTGGGGCTAGTTTATAGTTTTAAGAGAGATTGTCGGGTGTTGCTAAGAAAGTGACACAGGAGCAAAGACAAAGAGGATGTTTTTTTGTGTTAGGTTGCTGGACGAGGAGATGTGAATACTGACTACTATCCTGCCATGTCAAATTAAGGTTAGTCAAAGTCAAGCTCAGACTCACCTATCATGCAGTTATAACTATCAAATTACAGTGATACCTTGGTTGTCAAACTTCATTCCAAATTCATTTTCAAACAATCAAAAGTTCTAGAACTGAGCATATTTTTCTTATAAGAAATAATGGAAAACCAAATAATTGGTTTGAAGGCCCCGAAATTACACTTATGAATTCATTTTTTCCAGGACCTTAACAAATTTCCCAATGGTTTCTTTCTTTAACTCAATTGTGGTTCTCAGTTTTCCTCTTAGCTTTACTACTTTTCTTTGGAGCCCTAGTTATGATATTTTATGCAAATAAAGCACATGAAAAAGCACAGCAGTGAATGTTTTAATACAGTAACACAAGCACTCTGCTGTCTGGGTGAGAACAGTACCCAGACTGAAGCGTCACCACTTTTTGTCTACAGTGAGATGCAATGCATGACTCACACTCAGCCTGCACAGGTTTCTTCAAGTCAGATTTTTGTTTCAGCTATGGAGCAAAATACAAAGACTGAGCAGATTTTTTTTGTTTTGTTTTGTTTTGAACTTTGCTGTTCAAGTAGTGGAAAGTTTGAGCTTGGAGCCATTTGACAACCGATATCACTATAAAAGATATGTTTAGAAATGAAAGCTGGTTATAAAACTACACGAGATACTTACTTTGTCTGACATTAAGTCTTCCTTTATCTTGTTCAACCTGTCGTATCAGTTTCACGTGCAGTAAGAATGTATCCGTTGGCTTAAACAGTCTGGATTCTGGATTCCTTCCTTGCTCTATTTGAGTTCATTGAAGGCTAGCAGTGGCATGGCTCGTGTTGTCTTCACCAGGCCGACAAGCTGGTTCTGTCTGTGGCGTTTTCACATAGTAGAGGGGGAAGTGAGGTCATAGCAAGCTGGTGCTTCTATTTCATGAGCACAGCAGCTGATCTGTACCATCCTCACCAGAGTGAAGAAGACAAGCATAGGCCCCTCGAAAGGAAGGCCACAGTAGAAAAGAGTTTAAACACTGATTGTAGTTTTATGTTGAACTATTTAATTTTATTTCCCTTCCAACTTCTGTATATATCATTTCGTTTCTATTATAGTTTCAGTTCTACTACAAAGGATTCTCATTCGTTGTATCCTCTTCTCTAAAGCTGTCTCTGCTTCCACACCTCTTGTATGTTGATACTCTTCCTCTTAATTGTTTGAATCCCAGTCATCTTTTAAAATGCAGCTAGAGAGCCAGGTGTGGTGGCACATGCCTGTAATCCCAGCACTCGGGAGGCCGAGGCAGGAGGATCGTTGCGAGTTCAAGACCAGCCTGAGCTGCAAAGTGAGCTCAAGGCCAGCCTGAACTGCATAGGGAGACTCTGTCTCAAAAAAGGCCAAAAAAAAAAATGCAGCTGGTATTTCTCCTTTTCCTTACAGTTAATCTGTTTAACAACCCCCTCAAACCTATCTTAGTCTGAAAATAAGCCCATAAAGTACGACTTCATTTTTTAACCATTCCTTAGTTGATTATATCTGGTAATCACAACAATTACTTTGAAGACAACAATATGCAATATAACAACCATTGTTGAATTCATATTATCTTGTTTTTTGAAGTTTAATTTGTTTTTCTTAAAATTATTTTTTGCTCTCTTTAAAATAAAAAAAAGTACAACTTCAACTTGATATGTGATTTATATATGAACTGTTGAAGATAAGGAACTGTGCTCTGTATTTCCTTTCAGCTTTCAAAATGCCCTGTTCTATTTTGGTTACATAGAATGTTCAAGAAATGAATTAATGGAATACTTTAATTTCTTTCAGTGAATATACATGAAATCTATGTCTTGACCAGTAATTTAAAAATATGATTCACAGATTTTGTTTCCTCTTCATGTAATAGAAGTGTGGAATTCTGTCTCTACTGTGTTTAAAGACCATGAAACCAAGTCACAAAACTTTTTTATTCCCCCTCCCTCCAACTTTCATAGGAAAAACAGCTACACTTTACTTCCTTGTTGTATGTATACATTCATTTGTGGGTTCTTATATGTTTTTGTTTGAAAATTAGTTTCTTCTGCTAAAATTTAAAATCACTTTTTAAATGAAATAATGTAGAGCCTTACTAGAGTATATTTTTTATATAAGATAAAAATTCTTTAAATTGCCATAACCTGCTGGACACCAGCCTTGAGACTTAACACAGATGAATATATTAATATATCAAAACTATATGCTTTGAGACCAGCTTGGTCTTTGAAAGTAAGGTCTACTATTCTTCTGGCAATCTTTAGCCTTGATGAACTCTCCTTGGAAAATGATTTATCTTTCTTGCCATTGGAAAAGAACTTTATTGTATTTTAATACATTGCTTTTCTTTTGAGCCTATACTACTTTCAGAAATTTGGAAACATAAGAAAGAAATATTATTTAGTGTCAGAAAGCTTAAATGAACTTTAAATTCTAGAGTGTGTAGTATAACAATGTTTGTAGATAACCGCATTCATCTCTGTGACTGCTGATTTTAGAAATCCTTTGGAAATGTCACCAATGTATACATTCTTTAGAAATCAAGAGGAAAAAGAAACATTTTTCTTAAAATCACTGCAGTAAAAACTTCAGTTTTTAAAAGAATATTCAAATTATTGTAAAATATATTCTCTCAAAAATAAAATTCTCTGAACCTTTTTCTTAGGATCAGCCATTTATCACTGCAAGATGCTAACAAAGAACTAAAAAAGAGTTCAAGGGTCAAGCTAATTATTGTGCTGCCAGTTTAAGTTGACAGACTAGACAAACTAGTGTGATTCTTTTTTCTCATATGGTAGCATTAAAATAATAGAAACATTTTTACACAGTAAAATGTTACATTAACATTTGGAGAAGAAAAAAATACAATCAGGAGTGAAGTTCTTAAAGCGTTCCACTCATACGGTAATTAACTTGTTTTATTTTGCAATCACGAGAGTCACTAGCTTTCCTTCTTGCTTTTCTCCTTGTGAAACTCATACAACTTTCTGGCTTTTGACAGCTCTTTCATTCCAGGAAGAAAATCTTTGCGATAATGTATTGCAAAGTACAGATGAAATGTATAACCCACCTATGTGAATTGAAGTACCTAAGTTCATCAGGTAAAACTGTGCTTAAATATGCAAAAAGTGTAAGTGATACCAGAAGATTTAAGTATAATTCAGGGAACCCAGAAAATTTTAAGAGGTGTCTAAATGGTACCTTTGGCAGACTTTGAAAGGATATAATAGCTATAAAAAGCTATCATGAAAAAGACCAATGAAAAGGAAAAATTTCCAGGAAATTAAAATTATGATCACCAAAGTAAAAATTTATTAAACCAACTGATAAAAGAGGAATAACTGAAGCTGAAGTTGGTTTTTATCTTCAAATAAAATTGAATATTAACTTCCAACACTAACAGAAAGACAAGAAAATGTAAAATAAAACTGAAGGATGATGCTAGATAGTGAGTGGATCCAACATCTGCTTATGCAAAGGAATAAGACAAAGGCAGAAAATAAAATTTAATGATAATATTTTTGTAATCTGAAGAAATACCCTAGGAAAATGAATGCACCTTGAGAAATAAATGAAAAAATTCAAACACACAAGATTAAATATTACATGGTTTCTTTTATATGGAAAACTCAAGATATAAATAAATTAAAGATAATAGGAAGCAGGGAGATAGAACTTTTGCAAAAGGGAAAGGGACCAAGGGATGGGGGAGGGAGGGCAGGAGAGGAGGAGAAGAGAATGAAAAATAAATCAAGATGTGTTACATGCACATATCAGCTCCCCACAATGAATGTAATCTCCCGTAAACATGTACTCACAAAAATGAATACATGAAATATTCTATTTCAGTTAACCTTTGTTGTGAACATATGACTACAAAACTTGAGTAATTTAAAACAAGCACTATTTCTTTAACTTATGTTTCTATAAAGGGGCTGATGGGCTCTTCAGGGTATTTTCCCTTGAACTAACTCAGTCATTCTGGTTAGTGAAAGATTGGCTGGTGATTAGTTGATACAAGGTGAACTCACTTAGGGACTGTGCTTGGGACTGGTGGTTGAGTGACAGGGGCAACTGAGCTCTGCATCTCTCAGCACCATGCTAACCTCTACTTGTTACCTTGGCAATAGGTCTCTAATAACAGCAAGAGAGTAATTTTTAGTATGAAGACCTTTTCAGATATCTGCTTCCTTTTCTTTGCTCCATGAGCCAAAACAAATTGCCTGACCAAATAAAGAGTGGACTAGAAGAACTTTACCAAAGATAGCCACACATTGGGTCCATTATTGCCTTTAGTCTAACACATACTTCATTTGTAAGATTAAAAAGTTTAGCAAGCAGGGTGAATAAAAGTAAGAACAAATGTATACACAGTCAATTTATGAATACTTCCGTTCTCAAACAATTCGGTTCTCAAATAAAAGCTTTTGACAAAATTTTGTGTCCATTCACAAACTCCACACCAGGTGACAACTACAACTGTAGCCACCTTCCCCACACAAACACAAGCATGGCCGTCTTCTTCAAAATTGCAAAACAGATTAAGTTCATGAACTGAAGTATTTATATATATGAAATTTTAAATTGTTTGGATTAGGTTATTAGTACAATCTTCAAGTGGTGACAAATGTATTTTTAGTAAATGAATAAAAATAGGGTAATCATGACATTTCTTAGCAACAAAACTGGAGCCTAGGATATATCAAAATAATGTCTTCAAAGATCTGTGTGAAAATTAATTGATATATAGAATTATATGCTTAAATTGTACTCATGCTCAAGAATAATGCACAGTTTGGTAAAGAATGTCTACATGAAGATTTACTGAGTGATAATTCAAATTAGAGCAAAAGAATGACACAAAATACAGGAAAAGTAGCAGTTGAATACAACCTAGAAGGCTTTTGAAAACTAAAATCAAATTAAAAAATAATCTAGGAAAGTCTGAAACTTTGAAAATTTTCCTTTGTGCTATAGTGTTGGATAAAAATTCCTTCCCTAAGAATTTAATTATGCTACATGAATCTGCAATAAGCAATATTCAGTATTCATAGTGCTAGAAATGTTGCTTGCATTGAGTTTTAATTTTTAGAATCAAGTTGTGCAAAAATATTGGATACTAAATTATTGTCTTCATCTTAGAAAATATAACTAATAATAAGAGATAATAGGACTTGGAGAAAGTAGAAGGCAGCATTTATGCAGCAGTTCCTCATTTCTATCAAAGTAGGGCTTGATTTATGTTTCACAAAGGAAGAAAAGAGTTTAGCTATATATTACTTGAACTTATAAGTGATTATCAGTGGGAGATAATAAGTGGAAGAGTTAAAACTAAAATTTAAACTCCAAAAATCAAGAAATGGAAGTGGAAAAAAGGAAAGGGGTATAAAAGGTCCTAATTCCTCATTTTCCACATAAAACAGCATGTTCTGTGAAAATGAGATAAATGAAGAAATAACATGTATTGAAGACAATAAAATTATGATACCTATTTCATACATATGTAAATATTGTTATATTTATAAAAAATAAAATATGAAAGAGGGCATCATTAATAATTATTAAATGAATTGTGGAATGCATGTAAAATAGAAAAATAAACGCATCAGTATAAAAGAGGACTGTGTAAACAATACCTTTAATATGTTATGTAGCCAAAAATGAAACAGCAGAGAGATGAGGGTAGAAATGTCATTTATTTTAAGGGCATTGTATCTGGTGTGTTTGCTTATGCAGTTTGTGTGTGTGTGTGTGTGTGTGTGTGTGTGTGTGCGCGCGCGTACAGGGATAGAAAAGTGAAAGAAAGGTATGCACCAACACTTTTGTAACTTTTCACACGTC